TAACTTGTCCATTGGTGAGAGTGAGACACTGAAATTTCCACTATGAATGTGTAGGATTTGATGTGTGATTTAAGCTTTAGTAATGCTTCTTTTACAAATGTGGGTGCCCATGCATTTAGGGTATAGATGTTCAGAATTGAGATATCTTGGTGGATTATCCCTTTGATGAGTATGAAGTATCCCTTTCCATCCATTTTGATTATTTTGTTTGGAAATCTATTTTGCTAGATATTAGAATGGCTGCACCAGCTTGCTTCTTGGGTGATGGTATGAAAAACCTTTTTCCAACCTTTTACTCTGAGGTAATGTCCATCTTTGAGGTGAGGTGTGTTTCCTGTGTGCAGCAAAATAATGGAGCCTCTTTTCACATGTATTTTGATAGCCTGTGACCTTTTATTAGGGAATTGAGTTCATTGATACTGAAAAAAAATTTTAAGGAGCAGTGATTGTTAATTCTTGTCATTTTGATGTTGGTAGTGATGGAGGTAGTGTGTGTGTGTGTGTGTGTGTGTGTGTGTGTGTGTGTGTGTGTCCCTTCTTTTCATTTTGATGTTGTGAAATCATTTATTTTATGTGTTTTCTTGGGTGTCACTAACCTCTTTGTGTTGGAGTTTTCCTTCTAGTATCATTCTGTAGGAATGGATTTGTGGATAGATATTGTTAAATTTGGTTTTGTCATAGAGTATCTTGTTTTCTCCATCTAGTTGATGGAAAGTTTTGCTGGGTACAACAGTCTAGGCTGGCATCTGTGATCTCTTAGATCTCGTAAGACATCTATCCAGGTCCATCTGGCTCTTAGAGCCTCAGTTGAGAAGTCAGGTATAATTTTAATAAGTCGGCCCTTATATGTTACTTGGCTCCTTTCTCTTTCAGCTTTTAATATTCTTTGTTCTGTAATTTAGTGTTTTAATCATTATGTGCCAGACAGACTTTCTTTTCTGGTGCAATCTACTTGGTGTTTTGTAAGCTTCTTGTATGTTTATAGGCATCTCTTCCTTTAGTTGAGAAATTTTGTTCTATGCTTTTATTGAAAATGATTTCTGGGTCTTTGACTTAGGATTCTTCTTCTATTCCTATTAAGTTTTAGGTTTGGTCCTTTCAGTGTTCCAGATTCCTGGATGTTTTATGTTAGGAACATTTTAGATTTAACATTTTCTTTGACTGATGTATCAATTTCTTCTATTGTATCTTTTATACCTGATATCTCTTCTATCTCTTGTATTCTGTTGGTGATGCTTGTGCCTGTAGTTACTGTTTGTTTTCCCAGATTTTCCATCTCCAGGATTCCCTCACTTGGTTTTCTTTATTGCTTCTATTTCCATTTTCAGGACTTGAACAGTTTTATTCATTACCTTCACCTGTTTGTTTGTATTTTCCTGGATTTCTTTAAGGGATTTATTAATTTCCTCTTTAAAGACTTCTATCATCTTCATAAGATTGAATTTAAGGTCATATTCTTTTGCTTCAGCTGTGTTGGAATCCAGGACTTGCTGTTGCAGGATAGTTGGACTCTGGTGGTACCATATTGATGTGGCTGTTTTTGATTAGTCATCTAGGTTTGGGGTTATTATAGGTTAAGGTGCTGATTTCTGATTTTATCTTTGTTAGATGGATATTTTTGGATGTTTTCCCATTGGTTTCTGTTTCCTCTCTGGTCTTCTGGCCTGAGTGGTCTTGGGTTCTGGTGGCAGATCCAGTGGGGTGTCTCCACTGAAGTTTTTGCATCTTGCATGGCCTCTGGGCTCTTGTGTGCCAATGTTGCCTCTGTGGTTTCAAGTACTTGTGTGGCCTCTAGGGTTCCTAGTAAGGCATGGCCTCTGGTAAGGCAAAAACCTTCTGTCAAAATTGTAGGCTGGGATATGGAGCCCAGGGGAATGTGTGCATTTGGGGGCTGTTGGGTGGGCTCTTGGGGGTCTTAACTGGCAGTAGGTGATATCTTACCTGGGATTCCTAGTACTGGCATGGCCTCCAGGAAAGCAGGTCTTCTGCCCAAGTTTTGGCCCAGAATATGGAGCCCAGGAGAGCAGGGTTCTGTTGGATGGGCTTTAAGTGAGTATTAGTGGATAGTGGGAGGTGTTTTACTTGGAGTCTATAGAACAAGCCTGTTCTGTGGTAAAGCAGAAGTCTTCCAGAGTTGTGGGATGGAATGTGGAGCCCAGGGGGAAGGGGTGTAGTTTTTTAAAATTAGTATATACTGTTCTAGTGTAAGTTGTATAAAAGTTGGCACTCACTTAATAGCAAAAGTTTGTTTGTAGAAGTGTTCTCTGAGGATTGAGGTCTGGCCCACAGAAATGTAGAACACGTACAAATGAACACATGCTGTTATGACATCCAAGGTTCAAGAGCAAAGTGAGTGAAAGCCATTTAACATAATTCATTAGTATTTTTACCTCTGTGATTAACTCCACCTGTATGACTGACAGTGTAAAGGAACATAAATAGGACATTCCTGAACAATTTATCCCACTACTCTAAGTAGGATGGGACACTGTACATGAAGTATATTAGCAGTAGTGTGTAGGTGTAGATGTTCCTGTTCTGGAGAAATAAAAATTGGGCAGATTAATGCATCGGTTTATTTCCCTCTGCAATAAAAACAGGCAGGCTGGAATATGCCCAAGTATGAATAATAAATAAAGGATGTCTATGGGTTTTGCCAGATGTTTTAGTTCCTGTAGTAATGGAAGCTTAACAGAAACTGCAGTTAAAATTAAAGTAGTTCCTATTGCTGGAAATATTTCAACAACATAAGCAGAATCTGAAACAATATTTAAAGGTTTATAAATTAACTGTAATACATGAATCAAAACAGCCAGTCCCAACTGTTGAGCTCAGGAAAAAGAAGTATTGATAGATTGATGAATATCTGGACTAGAAATCCTTCCTGATCCATTAATAAAATAAATATCTGCCTGTGGAAGAGGAGAGGTTTGGACAACTTTTGTAATCACAAATTCAGGTCATATGAGAAAACCCCTCTCTTGCCAGCTGGATAAAGATTTCCTATCTTTCCATATTAGTCTGCAAATGATTTTAAAGTCCATATGCTACAAGCTGCAGGAAAATGTAATGGGATCCAGCTACTATCACAAAAGCTACTATTTGAAAAGGTCAAGGACTTTTCTGAAGCCATGGCTTAAGAAATCTTGGTGATATTTTAGCACACATGCACACACACACACATACATATATATACATATATATATACACATACACATACACACACACACACACACACACACACACACACACACACATATATATATATATATATATATATATATATATATATACATATATGCTGGTTCCTACAGTGATTTTCTTGTATGCTATGTGTGCTTCCAAGAACTCCTAACAGTGTATTTATCTAAAATACCTATCAAGCATCCAAGGCCAAATGATCTCCTGAACTAAGGAAACAATACTTATCTCCTAAGTCAGGCAGATAGCTTTATTTCTTGTGCAATTTAAGCTGAGACCCCCTTTCTTATACAGCCTTACTAACATTACAGATGCCTAACGTTTTTACCTAACCACTTCTAGGAATGTAGTTTGAGCACATAAATCCCCTTTTTCTGATATATTAACTGATTTTAGCTCTCAGTTGACCTCCTCCCTTACCACTCCCTTTTTGGGTTGTAAAAGAAAGCCTGATGGTCACTGCCTAAGGAAAACTCTTTATGACCCTGTAAGAATTCAAGCCTCGTGACCTTGATTTGGCTAGAGCACTGTCATTACATGGGTATATCACTGCAAACCTCAGAGTCTTAGGGAGGATTTTTGAGGATTTTGACTGGAAAGGATTTAGACTAGAGAACTAGAATGAGATGGAAGATGAGGAAGAGCTAGATGGGGAAGAACAAGATGGGTAAGAACAAGATGAGAAAGACAAAGGTGGGGCAGAACTAAGATAAGAGAATTAAGATAGAACTTTGTGGGGACAGCAGATAAATGTAGAGAGAAATAAGGCAAGAAAGGAGCTAGGCATGAGAGCAGAACTGAAGCTGTGTAGATAGGATTTTATCCTACAGGAATAAAGTAGACAAAGAGCACAGTGTACATAGATTCTTTTTCCCAAAAATAATTCTCACCGTTAATAGCTTCTCTTCTGAGCCCCTGGGAAGAATATGAAGGCTGGTCCTTAATAATATTTGAGATTCATACAATTCTCTAACATTTAAACATCTCAATTTTGCTGAAGCTGCACTAGAAATACCAATTACACCTCATGAGGCCCATAAGGAATTGGTAAATAAAATCAACTTTTTAATAGGCTCTCCTAAGTCTTCACCAAAATACAGAGAATTGAAGATTAGATTGATCAGTAAATTACTCATCCTATCCTTCAGGGTCATTTTCAGAAAATGGAGTATATGTATATAAAGTAGGCTCCAGTGAAGTAACTGAGGGAGCTGTCCTCAGCACACACATAGGTGATATTTTTACTTTTGATTTTGCCTGAACAAGGAAAATCACCTTTGTGCCTCTTTTACTAATTAAAAGTTTGATCATGAAGTTTATAGTCATTGAAAAAATTCATAGTGAGTCTTTCATGATTAATATCCTCCTTGTCTTCCTTAGTTTGATAATAGTCCATGTTAATGAACAAAGGACACAAAATTGAACAGGGATCTTTTCCTTGTTTATACGCCTTTTCACTATCATTTTGGGCTCTGTCCATACTTCATCTAAAATTCTGTCTTCTGGAAACCAGAAGTTATAATCCTAATCAATTTTCAAGCAATCTAATAATTGTGATTTTAATGTTAGTAGTATGCTCCATTCTTTAAAAAAAAATGATGCACTAGGTCAACATAAGGAACCTACCCCCCACCCCCATCCCGCTCCTCATTTCTGCCCCATTATTCTCACTCATCTCTCCTTTACTAAGGGTCTTCTCTTTAACTTGCAGCCAACTTCCAGTTTCTGTTCAAGTGCCACTTTTCACCACTCTAAAGATGGTGGGACTTGGGAGAATGGAGCCAATAAATGAGGAGGACTATGGCATGATAGCCAACTTTATTCAGTGTCCCATACAATTTATACTTGACAGGTTAAGAAAGGTCATGAGTAAAGTTCTCATGAGTTCAAGCTGTATACAATAATAAAAAAACAAGTGATGTATGACAAAAACACGCTTTTCCATACAGTCATATAAAGGTTAGTTGAAACATTTAATCGAATAAGAACAGCAAGCAATAATGAGTAATCTGAAGTCAACTCACACCTATCTGCTACACCTGGGAAGAGCACAAAAACATTCCAATTTCATGTTTTGAAGAAAGCAAGGTCACAAGACTTCTGGACTTGACTTCTGGGAGTGTTAACATAATCATGTAGAATGTTTTCATTCAGGACCATGTTCTGACAATATATATCTAAATTTATTTTAATTTTAGGAAAAAACATAACATATACATGAAGAAAGCTTTTAAAAATATGGAGTCATGCACACTTGCACATGCACATACACACAAATACATATATATCTGCACCATTTGATACCTGGTGCCCAAGTAAGTCAGCAGAGTGCATCAGATCTCCAGGACAAAGCTTTAAAAGTAGTTCTGAGCCATCTGATGTGGGTGCTAGGAACCAAATTTGGGTACCCAACAGCAGCTTTATTATTGAGTCAAATCCCCAACTCGCCAATATGTCATTATAATGTAGAAGGTGAAGCTACAACACTAATGTTTCTGTCTTCTATCACTTAATGGTGATGAAATTCTCTACTATTTGGTCATTGAAGAATTGAATGATTTCTATCCTTCTGTGAATGGACTCAGAAAATTGCTTCTTAATGTAATTATAAACACAGAATGAAGAAAACAAAAGATTTACTTGAATAGAGTCCAAACTATATTAAGTTTCATAATTTGATAAAGTCTTTTTTTTAATAGTTTATTTTACATGCATTGGTGTTTTGTTTGTATGTAAGACTGTGTGAAAGTGTTGGGTAACATGGAACAGGACTTACAGACAGTTGTGAATTTTCATGTGGGTGCTGGGAATTGAAACTGTCCTCTGGAAGAATAGCCAGTGTGCTTAATTGCTGAGCCATCTGTCCAAAACCCCTTTTTATTAATTTTTGGAGACAGGATGTCTTAGTTAGAACTTTGGTAATGAAACACCATGACCAAAAAGCAAGATGGGCAGAAAAGGGTTTATTTGGTTTACATTTAAGCATTGCTGTTCATCACTGAAGGAAGTCAGGACAAGAACTCAAGCAGGGCAGGAACTTGGGAGGCAGGAGCTGATGCAGAGGCCATGGAGGGGTGCTTCTTAGTGGCTTGCTTCCCATGCCTTGCTCAACCTGCTTTCTTATAGATCCCAGGACCTTTACCAATCAATCATTATTTTTTTTAAAAAAATGCCTTATACCTGGATCTTATGGAAGCATTTTCTTGAGTTTTCCTCCTTTCAGACAACTCTAGTGTGAAATTGACATAAAACTAGCCAGTACAACTGACCATTTGTCAAACTTGACACACAAACATCACTACTAAGCCACAACCCTTCCTTTCTTATTCATTCCCAAGATCTCACATTAAAAACATAAATAACTTTAATAAAAGTCCTATAATCTTTACAAATTCAAACACATTAAAAATTTTTCCTTAAAAATATTCAATCTCACAATAAATCCAAAATCTCTTTTAAAAGTTCAAAGTCTTTCAACTATGGCTTTTGTAAAAATATCAAAATTAAGTTAAATACCTTCTCTCTTCAAAAGGGATGAATTAGGTCAGTCACATTCCGAAAGAAGGAAAAAAAACCAAACTCTAACAGTATAAATAACTCCACTACTAATGACTGGGATCCACTCCCAATCTTCAGGGCTTCTCTGGCTCCACCCTTGGCAGTTCCCACAACTTTTCTTCTAGGCTCTTACTGGTTCCACTTTACCACTGCTGACGGTCTTGGTGGATACCCCATGGTACTGGCATCTCCAAAATGATTTTGTCTCTGCCTGATGTACAAAGTTTTACCTCTTATGTTCATGGGATTTTTCTCTAGTATGTATTCTTTCATGTCTGTGAAGATGACTGTTATATGCAAAAGCTTTACCACATTGACTACATTCATAGGAATTCTCCCCAGTGTGACTTCTTTCATGCCTGTGAAGATGACTTTTCTCTGCAAAGGCTTTACCACATTGATTACATTCATAGGGTTTCTCTCCAGTATGAATTTTTTCATGACTGAGAAGATGACACTTCTGTGCAAAGGCTTTACCACATAGATTACATAAATATGGTTTCTCTCCAGTATGACTTCGTACATGCTTTTGAAGAGTACTGCTATCTGCAAAGGCTTTATCACATTGATTACAAACATAGGGTTTCTCTCCAGTATGACTTCTTTCATGCTTGTGAAGATTAATCTTTTGTGCAAAGGCTTTACCACATTGATTACATTCATAGGGTTTCTCTCCAGTATGACTTCTTTCATGCCTTTGAATACTACTAGGATATGCAAAGGCTTTACCACATTGATTACATTCATAGGGCTTCTCTCCAGTATGATTTCTTACATGTTGTTTAAGATTACTGGAATTTGCAAAGGCTTTACCACATTGATTACATTCATAGGGTTTCTCTCCAGTATGATTTCTTTCATGCTTGTGAAGACTGCTGTTATCTGCAAAGGCTTTACCACACTGATAACAAACATAGGGTTTCTCTCCAGTATGACTTCTTTCATGCCTGAGAAGATTACTCTTCTGTGCAAAGGCTTTACCACATTGATTACACTGATACAGTTTCCTGCCCGTATGAATTCTTTCATGCCTGTAAAAATCACCAGTACTTGCAATGGCTTTGCCAAATTGATTACATTCACAGGGTTTCTCTCCAGTATGAGTTGTTTCATGTGTTTGAAGATAATTGTGACATTGAAAGGCCTTTCCACACTGATGACATCCATATTGAAGACAACTATGATATGCAAAGGCTTTATCACCTTGATTATATTCATAGTGTTTTATTTTCAAAGGAATTCTTTCATGTAAATGTAAAGAGGAATCAGATCTAAATGTTTTATCCCATTGTTTACATTCATAGGGTTCTTCTTCATTATCAGATCTTCTACATGTTTGTATATACCTGTGATGGTTCAAGTCTTTAGTACATGGCTCACATTTACAGCATCCTTTTTCTATGTGAGTTATTTCTCCTCTTTGAAGAGAACTAGAAAAACTCAGAGCTTTACGACACTGATCACATTCAAAACATTTTCCTGAAGTGTGAGTCACATTACATGTGCAATCTGAACCAGGGCAGGTTGAAGAATTTCCATATTTCTTGTCATCATAAGGTTTTCCCCCAGTGTAAGTATGTTGATATATTCCCAATGAACTAATTGGAAATCCAATTAATTGTACATTTAAATCACGATCACCATGTCTTCTCATAGTGGGAAATACTACATATCTTCCAATTTTTCTGGGAGAGAGAGAGGTACATTGCTTCTTTCCATATCCCTTATGCTCACATGGCTTATATCTAGAATGACAGGCGATATACCTATTAAAGCAACGATTACAAACAAAAGGTTTTCACATTGCATTCACAGTTTAACTTTTCATTCCTCGTCGATTAAGGTCTCTCCACCACAACATGCTTCTTGATTGTTACAAACTTCCCTTCTCACTAAACTATGATAAATCACTACAAGTATATGAGTAACAATAGCTTTACTATGCACTATTTGCTTATAAAAGGTCTTAGACACACCCAAATCCCCTAATGAATATGAATGCCTTTTCAATACTTGAATGGAATGAAACTGTATGGATGGATAATTCTACAACAGGGCTATGATTAATATGGTGACATTTGTTAAGGCATTGTTTCCTTGTTTTGTTTCTTAGAGGACTGCATTGCAAACAGATCATGCTACCTGAAACAGAAGTACATAATGTTGCAGGAATTTAATAATCATCACAAAGCTATAATTATTTACACTGTTGTTTTTCATTAAATATCAGGGCATATTAAAATTTCTTCAAAGGCATAAATGTATCTCCTTGCAGATGAAAATTACCTTCCATGTCTTCTAGAACTTTGACAATGTTCTTCAATATTCTGGTCTTCCCATTTGTAGCCTAAAATATAGTACCAAAAATTTATGATATATTATTGAAAATTATGCAAAATTTGAGTTGAAATCACAGTGGAACACCAATCTCCAAGAAAGGCTTGTCCCCTTAAGCTAAAATGTGACAGAAAGCTCACATTCTTACCTATAGAGATGAGGTTCTCATAGGTTTCCAGCATCACATCTTTGTAGAGACTCTTCTGGGAAGAATCCAGCAAAGCCCACTCTTCCTGAGTGAAGTTCACATGCACATCCTCATAGGTCACTGCATCCTAAAATACCCCATATACATATGTAATAGAAATGTTGAGATTGAATACATTTCAAATGTATACTTCATTGTGAATATATTTACATAATTCTGTGTGCTCAACAGAATTTCAAATGCAATCACCAAATCATTTTAGAAGGAAACAGAAAAGGAGGACCATGACTATCATTTCTGGGCCCTCTGAACAGTATATGACATTCCAAGAAAAATGCTAACTTACATATAGAGAGAAACATGCAAACAGAGCAATAGTATTGTGTAAACATCAACTAAATTGTATCAAAATTACTGACATCATAAAAGGATGGACAAGATGGGTATGATGGTGCACACTTTTAATGACAAAACTCAGGAGGCAGAGACAAGTAAATCTTCATGATTTCCAGGCCAGTCTGGTCTGGATAAAGATTTCCAGGAGAGCCAAAGATACATAGTGAGACCCTGTCTCAAACAAACAAAGACAAAAAAGAGAGCACTCAGGGCTCACACTAAATTCCACCAATGAGTTAAAAATCCACTTCATAAATGTACTTGTCTTTCAGAAAAATGGAGTGCCTCACCTAAACTCTAAGGGTAATATAATATTCATATTGAAGAAATGCATTTTTAATGAGTGACTGACAGATCAAAAGGTTTCTCAAAAACATTAGTGAGTAAAAGTTGATGCTAATAAATTAAAACAATCAAACAACAAACTAAACCTAATACAGTATAAAGATGGGTCAACAGTTAAGATCACCTGCTACTTTTGAGGACCTGAATCAATCCCCAGTACTCACTTGAGGTCCCAACAATTTGTAACTCCAGTTCAAGAGAATTCAGTGCTCTCTTCTGACTTCAGTGAACACCAGGCACACACACAGTAAACACACACACACGCACACACACACACACACACACACACACACACACACACACTCATGCAAAAGACCCATGCACACATTTCAAAAACTAAAAACAAATTAAAACATGCATAACTATATGGATAAAGTTACACATCTGCAATGTAATGATGCAGGAGATCAGTATTGCCATGAATGTATGTCATCCTGGTGGTCAACAATGATACTTTCTGCCAGAGTTTAAAAGTAAAGAAGTGGGTAAAGCTCAGCACAAAAGCAAATTTTCACATATACAAAAACCTAATTCTATCATCAAATACATAAAAATAAAAACATCAGGGCAGAAAAATGGCTTAGCAAGAAAAAGCAATTGCATCTATTTTATCTTACATTATTTAGGGATGGAGTCTGTTATGATGGTAATGGCGTGGCTGCATGAGAAGGAAGGGGACTGCTCAGCTTCAACCACAGAAAGAAGACAAGTGTGGTCATGGGTATAAACACTCAACACCTATCCCCAAATACTAACATACTCTGGAAAGACTGCTCATCCTAGAGGTAACATATGCACCCCTATGAAAACTACAACCCACAGGTGTCAAACACATCTTTGTACTTGGGGAGAGTTTTCATTCAACCTACCATGTATTGACACAGGTCATGATAGCTTCATACTCAATCCATAATGCAAAATACAAAATTAGTCTAACCACAAAGATATCCATATTCTGTAACAGTCCCAACATTGTTAGAATGTAAAAAGTTCCTTCTGACACTAAAGGCAGTCTCCAGAATGTGTTAACTTGTGAAATAAAAAAACTACCCAACACACAATGGCAGAGTATGCACATTATATCTACCCAACAAACAATGGCACAATATACACATTTCCTTTTCAAAGAAGTAAGGAAAGACTGGACCAATATGAGACTGAAACGCAGAGCAAACACCAAATCCTGCTGCTCTGTGTTAGACACGTGGGGCTATAGTTTTAAAAGGCTTAGATGGCTCCTTCTCTTTGACACATTTCACACATCTCTCTCTTGCTTCTTCCACATCCTACATCCAGATATTCATGACAATGTCTCAGAGCTTGGGAATCTCAACATCTAGTGGTCTCAAAATGCAACCCAGTCTTCATTTTCACATCTTCAAACAATTAACAATCAGTCTCCTCACTGGGGCCTTGAGTCTGCCAAACAGATGGCTGCAACAGCGCTGAACTGAAAGCACAGAGGAAGAATCCAGGACTGTCATCTGAAACCACCTAGTGCTGTTTTTCCTACCAAAACACACAGGTTTCATGAATTTCTTTCCCTATTGTTGCTCTTTTCCTCTATAGATCTGCATGAGTCATCAGTAATGACCATACAACAGACTAAATGTTGTTAAGACAGTCCATGACTATTTAATTTAGCTTTACTCATTTTCACAAGTTATGAGAAGAATACATACAGACAATACACCAAAATATTACACAAAAATATCTATCTTAGTTACTGGTCCATTGCTGTGAAGAAACACTATGACCAAGGTGACTGTTACAATGCAAGGTTTTTAAATGGGGGCGTGATTACACAGACAGAGGATTAGTTCATTATCATCATGAATGGCAGCATCAAGGTAGGCATGCATGGTGCTGAGACTAACATCCTGATACACAGATATACAAGCAGAAAGAAACACTTTCTTCACTTGGGCTTTTGAAACTTCAAAGCCCACCTATAGTTTCACCTTAACAAACAAGACTCACCTACTCCCACAAGGGCATACCTCCTAATTTGACACAATTAGTTCTACTAACTGAGGACCGAACATTCAAAGATAAGAGCCTGAGGCAAATATAAACCATGAAAGAAATGTAACCTAAGTAGAAAGAACTCTAAAAGAAAAGAGTGAAATAAATTGAAGAAAAAACAGGGAGTGAGAACAATGGGGAGGGAGAGGGAAAGGGAAGGGGTGGAGGATGGGCAAGTGGGGAGAGAGAGAACTAAAAGGAAGAAAATATTTACCCAAATTGGGGGTGGGCCTGTACTTCTTGCCTGGTTATAGGCTTTATCAATATAACCTTTCCTACATTATCTAAGAAAAGACTAAACAACATAAGACCTCCAAACTTAGGTTTAAGTCCCTATCTTTTCTCTGAGTGCATTGCATTATGCCTTGTTTCCCTCTCTACCAAGTTCCCTTGGAGAACCCAGGAAACCTTGGATCAGGTCTGCTGGAAGCAGTGAAGGCAGTCTCTTCATGTCTTCAGTGTGACTGCTGTATATGATGCCATCTGGAAGCTGCATTTCTAATTGGGGTAGAAGTGCCTCACAAGGCTACTAAGGCTTCAAATTCAATTTCACTAGTTTAGCAAGTTGGATTCTGAAGGTCTTAAATTCCAGCCAACACGGAGAGTCACAGATCCATCTGATCACAGCCCAGACCATACTCTACTGGGAAAAATGGGTCAAGCAACATCTTGTGTCTGGGGGCTGAGGAGGTAAAACACCTGGAAGACAATGCTTGGCTTCCAGTTATAATATGAATGGTAAGATATATGGATGGACTCAACTTTCTCTGACTGAAATCACAGTATTCTTTTCTCTATTCCTTTGCAACATGGGATCTACCTGCCTAGGCCATAGGTACCATCTCCTCCTATATTCATGCTAATCTAACTAAACTGTCTTTTTAAAGAAAAGGGTTTAATAATGCACATTTAAACTTTGAGAAGTGTGGATCCCACTGGGATATGTGTCTGACGGAGGATGGGAAAGTCCAAGCAGGGAGCTGAGCCAACCTTGATAAGAAAGCAACCTTGTGCTTTGCTGCCTTTTTGGCTATTATGTCAATAGAATATTACAAAAATTGAGAATTTCAGCCAGAGATTCAATAAAATCCAATAAAAATCTAATAATTTATGCCATCAACAACAGAAAACTGATGGCAAAAGGTCATCAAGAATGAAAACGAGATCAACGTAAGATTGAATAAACAGCACAGACAGTGACAACATTTGACTTCAAAACTTTGAACACTAACTACCAGAAAGATTTACTGTCTGGGGAAGAATAAAGAGATCAATAGAACACCAGACCAAAGAGACATAAGAAAACAATTAAAATATAGTCAGTGTTAACCAATGAGACTAGAATATACAGTAAGTATGGCCTTACTAACACATGTGAATGGAACATGGTGGCATTTATGATATGTATTAATAACACAGATTTTAAGATCTGTACAAAATTAATTCCAGTGGGATCCTACACCTGTGTTAAGTGGGAAGTTCAGAACTTTGAGAAGATAATAGAGAAACTAGGGCTCAGCTAGTCAGCAAATCTGCCTTCCATGGAGACAATAAAAGCAGTAGAGCTATGCTCTCTGCACGGTGAGGTCAACAATAAGCATGTTTCCACACAAAGGCTCCTGCTCCCCATGCTCAGGAAGGAAGGCATGACAGGAACTCAAGCAGGGTGGGAACCAGGAAGCAGGAGCTGATGCAGAGGCCATGGAAGGTGCTGCCCCCTGGCCTGTTCACCATGGCTTGCTCAGCCTGCTTTCTTATAAAACCTAGGACCACCAGCCCATGGGTGGCACCATCCACAATGGGCTGGGCATTTCCCAATTAATCACTAATTAAAAAAATATCTTCCAGGCTTGCCTACATCTAGATCTTACGGGAGCGTTTTCTCAATAGAGGCTCTCTCCTCTCAAATGACTCTAGCTTGTGTCAAGTTGACAGAAAACTATCCAGTACATTGATGATTCACCTTAATTGGATTAAATAGAAACCTGAATTAGTAACCTCTGAAGTTGGAGAGAACAGAAAGGAGCTGCCAGAGCCTATGCCCTGCTGGATTGAACTCCTGGGGCAAGAGGAGTGTAAATGCATTCTGCTGTTAGTTTGATTAAGAAGTCTTTACTGCAACTCTTTAGAGATTTTTACATAATATATCAAGCCGACTAGGTGGCATATGCCTGTAATCCTAGCATCCAGACTAGCATGGACTGCACAGGGAGGTGCAGAAGATCAGGGACAGCAAAGAGGAATCCTGACTTAAGCAAGATGTTTTTCTGAGGTGCTAGGATGGGACCCAAAGCTTTCACATGCTTGGTCAGGTGTTCTACCCATGACCTACATTCCCAGCACCCTGTCTTCCATGCATGGTGTCTGAAGTGCTGCACACATGTGGAAGTAAGAGAACAACTTGTGAGAGTCATTTTTTCCATCATGTGGGTCCTGGGGACTGAACTCAAATCATCAGGCTCAGAAGCAAGCACTTTAACCACTTGTAGGTAGTCTATTTTCATGGGTTATGACATCTATTGCTGTTTTGCTGAGGGGACAAGGTTTCCCTATTTAGACCTGGTTGGAATAGAACTATGCAAACATTAGGTTAAATTTGCTTCCTCCTATGTCTCTGCCTCCTGAGTCCTGGTATTACACTATGCATGAGTGCACATAGCTGTTTTTGTTTGGGGAGGAAATAGTCTCAAGTAGCTCAGGTTGGCCTCAAGTTCAGTAAATAGCTGAGGTTAGCCTTGCATGTTTTTTCCTTACCAAGCTCCATCCTCCAGGTAGTGACATTTTAATAGTAAACACTGAGGCTGGGCACAGTGACATGCACTTTTAATATTAGCACTGGGGAGGAAGAGATGAACCTGCTTTACATCATAAGTTTCAGGCAAGCGAGGATGAATCAGTAAGACCCTTCCTGAAAGAAAAAAGAAAAAACAGATCACCCATGTTGGGTGCCAAGTTGCTGTTACAGTTATTACCTGTGTGTCCCCCAACAAGGCCACAATACCCATGGGTCAGGAAAGGGCATAGAGAAGAACCACTCCAGGGATGGTTTCATGGAACATCATCTACTTTACTTCACATGAGCAACTACTTATACAGTGGAAGTCTATTGACTATAATTGGTTAGCACATCACCTTGGGTTGAAAAGTGAGCAGTCATACAACCCACCAGATCTCTATGCAGAAGTAGCATATAAAAGGAGACGTGGAGAGTGTAGACAGGTCAGCGGGCCAGCTACTGACTACCCATGCTAGTTTATAATTCAATGTTCTGACTTTGGGGAATATTCAGGAGCATGGTGGGCCACACTTGTTACTTAGAAGCGCAGTGTACAAGATAGACTAACCACCAGGACATTCCTGCATTTTCTCCTACAGTTCCTCTCTATATCATTTTACATTCCTGAGAGCACAGCCTCATGATCAATGAGCAGAATATGCCAATCAGCATTATTACAACTAAAAGATAACATAGGTCAAGTAAAAACATCACCAGTTACAAGGTGGTGACAGTTCCCTCAGCTTCCTTATTGGAACCTCCTTTAAATACCTATCCTCCATTTCCTAAGAATGTCCCTGAATCACAGGGTGAGGAATTTGATAATATATCCAATCATAAATTCCCTCCATTTCCTAGTGAGGACTTATGAGAACCTATGAAAATGCTAACTTTACATCCTAAGCAAGCTAGGGCATGGCAGGAAAAAGAAATTCACTTACCAATTCTTTCCCAGCTGCATGAGCTGTGCTTGGTATTTCCAGTGCTATTTCAGCAAAACCAAAATGTCTAATGCCTAATTACGCACTAACCAATTTATTTAAAACTCTAGAAGGAGAGATGGCATTAACAGTACTCACATACTATCTTGAGAGGTAAAAAAGGAACTAGAGCTATCTGAATCCAGACTAAAAATGGCTACTCATTTCTACCTGAACTTGGAAAATAGAAGGTGGAGTCACATGCTAATGGTGATTATATAATGGCTGGACAGTTATTGACAGTTCATGGATGGGCCTGAGCTGCATGTGGTACTACTGCCACAACTTGTAAGCAATTGCTAAAAAGACCAGAAAGCAGGTTATTGGTGGCTGAAGATGGCTCTCTTTTCCCAGATGACCCTGCTGAGGTCAGTATCTTCAAAATTAAACACAACAGACATCTGGCAATTTCAAAGCATAAGCTTGTGTTTATTTACACCATCATACTTGTGAACATGAAGATAACCAAGATGACTATGATCAAGAATTCTATAGTGACTCTTGATCTTTTTGAGAGTATCAAATAGCATTGAGTGGGTGCTATTTGACTGCTAGGTTTATGTCATTAGAAAAGTAAAGTTAAAACCATCTTCTCAGGGTACTGGCTCATTAGCTTCAGAAACCTGCAGGGCCTGCAGGGGAGGATCAGCTTTTAAGACTGTGCTGCTCTTGCAGAGGACCTGAGTCTGGTGTCCCATACACAGGTCAGTTGGCTTACATGCCTATAACTCCAATAAATCCAACCTTTTTCTGGCCTCAGAGAGAAGTAGCAACCATATACATTTATGGAGTCATGCACAAACAAAAAATAAAATGAACAAGTAAAGCTTAACAGAAACTGAAATAAAAGCTATGGGGAAAGCTCCAGACAATGTTAAAAAAGCATGCTGTGAAGGCAGTTTACTTGAGATCTAGAAGGCAATTGTTTTTCTTATTAACCTATCAGCTTATGATAGTTTATGTAAATGTTACATAAATGTTATAAATATGGCCAGGTATAGTAGCTTAGGCCTTTAATCCTAGATTGAAAGAGGCAGAAAGATCTTGAATTCAAGGCCAGCTAGGACTATGCAGTGAGACCTAGTCTCAATGTAATGGAGCTGACAAAAAGAAAGTTTTGTTCTAGGTAGAGTACCCTCTTGAATGTTATTTTACTAGTGTATCATATGAATTTATTTTTCTTTTTTCGTTTTTTTAATTAAATTTTTTTTTCATTTTTACATACCAATCCCAGTTCCCCCTCTCTCCCCTTCTCCTGCCCCCCCACCTTGGGGAGTCAACAAAGTCTGGCATATTAAGTTGATCCTCATAATTATTTGAATGCTTTCATACTGATTAAAGAATCAACTTTTAAATGTTTGAAAAAGTAAAAATGTTTCAAAGTCACAGAAATGTAATACTTGGATTTTTGGCTGAAGAGATGGCTCAGGTGTTAAGAACATACTGCTTTTGCAGGAAACTCAAATTTAATTCCATGACCTTTATCAGGCAGAGAGAATGTGACTCAAAACAAAGTACACAGACATACTTTTCTTTAAGGTTTCCTGAGATGGGCCCATGTCTCAAGACCCCCCCCCCCCCCCAACACCACCACCACCACAGAGCCGATATCTGATGCAAGCACAAAGGGGTTTATTGATAGCAAAGCAAGCCCAGGTTTGGTCCGTGTCCAACAATCTGACTAGCAGGTGGAGGAGAATGGCCCTGAGTTCTCAGGATGAGGGATTTTTTAAAGGGAAAAACTGCAAGCTGGGTGGTATAAGACTTTGCATCTTATGACTGCGTGAGGGTATGTAATATTTGAATTTACTGGTTGGGGGTTACATTACAGTTTTCATTTTGGGGCAGGCCTGGACAAGTCCCAGGCTTTGTCCTTGAGCTGCCATGGGGGCTGGCTGGCCTTACACATACTGACTGTGGGAACTGACTCAGTGGCCCAGGCACTGTCCTTGAGCTGCCATGGAGGCTGGCTGGCCTCACACGTTCACATTGACCCCATGCACGTTGCTCTTAAGTTGGTGAGGGGTCCTTGACAGTAAAAAACTGGCTGAACCTTGAGCGGTCAGGGTCAGAGTACATGCAGAAAGGGAGCTACTGCAAGGACTATGTCATAGCCCTCCCAGAAACTGCTTGCTCAAGTCTCAGGAAACTGAAATTGAGGCCTGATCTCTGAGAGAAGACTGAGCAGCCTGTTATGGTGTCTGCTTAGTCCTTTCAGGCTCTCACTGTGCAGCAGTAACTGGCCTAGAACTTTCTATGTACTATTTGGGATAGAATAAAGAGATCAAGAAAAACTAAGACAAAACTTAGAAATAAAGACACAATTAATATAGAGTCAATTTTGACACACGAGGCCAGGAAACCCAGAAAGAATGGCCTTACTACACGTGACTGGACCACCCTGTCATCTACATGCAAATGTGTTAATGACACAGAATTTACACCCTGCACAGAATTAACAGGGGACAGATCTACCTACACCTGAATGTTCAGTGACAAGTGCAGAACTTCTAGAAGACACTAGAGAGACCAGGACTCTGCGAGTTAACTGCCTTCCACAGCAAAGATGAAAGCTGCGCATGCGCGCGCCCTGCATATTGACGTGGGAAATCAGGACAAATCTTCACACAGTTCACCCAAGCCCACGTTAAGTGCAGCCGCAGCCGCAGCTGGAAGTTATTCAGAGGCCACAGCGACAGCAGGATCCTCAGGGACCTCACGTGACCTCACAGGCCGCTGCGTCCGGACGCCGGTTCCCGCAGCCCCGGAACCCCACACCACCTCCCACGGCTCCTCCCCGTGCGGACGGCGGCCCCTCGCTCACCATGGCGGATTCCGAGCTCGCCCCGCTCTCTTCACAGCTCCCGGCAGCGGGTCACAGCGCTGCACAAGGAACCACAGAGCCTCCCTGCAGCATGGCGGACCGGAAGTGCCTGCCCCATTCTGTCAGGCAGTCTATCTGGAGCCCTGATTGGCTAGTGAGGCTGGAGTGACAGGAGCAGCTCCCTTAGGGACAGAGTGTTGTGAAGGGACACAGCTCGGTGGTTCCCATCTCTGGCTTCCACCCCAAGCACAGATCTGTCTCAGACCTGCAGAGATTGGCATGCAGCAGAACTTCAAAGTTCTCCGTATTACGTAACAGTCTCACCACTGTTCTAATGTCCAAAGTTTCTTCTGAAAAATCAAGGCAATATTTTGAATGTGCCATCTTGTAAAATCAAAACACAAATTATGTATGCCCAATACACAATGGCACAGAATATACATTTCCCTTTCAAAGAAGTAAGGGAATATTGGACCAAGGCAAAACTGAAACCCTACAGGGCACACAAACCCTGCAGCTCTGTCTCAGACACCTGGGGCCTCAGTTTCAAAGGGCTCAGATGGCTTTTTCTCACTGCAACTTCTCAGACAGCTAGCTCTCTCTTTGCTACTTCCACTAACTTCATGCAGCTATTCTATTTTCTCTTCTCTCCGCTATTCTCTTCTACGCAGAGTCTCAAAGCTTGGGTATCTCAGCATGTTTTGGTCTCGAAATGCAACCCAGGCTTCATCATCATGTATTCATGCAATGAACTCTCAGAGTCTCCTCACTCGTGCTTGGACCATTAAACATTTCATTTTTCTTCTTTCAAGAAAAAAGTAGCGCATAGATAATATCACCACACGAGGTTCTAGCTTTAAACGGACCTTGCCCCACTGGAACAGAGCAGCAGAATGGTCTGCGTGAAGTTTGTTTTTCGGACTACGAATCACCTTCCTTTACCTCCCATAGTTAAATGCTTGGATGGGTGGGCAGTTCCCTTACAACAACTTTTCTACATTTCTAAGGAAGAGGAGGTACCTGGTCTCTAATGGCCCTAACCTCCCTGGTAATTACAGCCTCTGTTTCAGCACATGACCCTCTGAAACTACCCAGTGTTGTTTACATTTCAAACCACACAGGTTTCATTAATTTCTGCTCCTATTATTGCTCTTTTTCACTATGGTCCTGCAGGAGTCATCAGTAATAATCATACCATGGACTATATGTTTTGCCAGGATAGTCCATTCCTTTTTAATAAGCCTTACTCAATGTCATTGGACATGGGCACAATACAGAGAGATAATACATCAAATATTATACAGACAACCTGTCTTAGTGACTTTTCTATTGCTGTGAAGAAACATTATGACCAAAGTGATTCTTATGAGGCTTGCTTCGAGTGACAGAGGATTAGTCTACTATCATCATGAATAGCAGCATCTGAGTCTTATATCCTGATACACAGGCAGGCAGAAAGAAACACTTGTTTTGGTCTGGGCTGTTGAAAACTCGAATCCTGCCTACAGTGACACATGTTAACAAACAAGGACACACCTACTCCCACAAGGATATGCCTCCTACTGTTACATCAAGTGTTTGAATATAAGAGATTGAGGGTGGTGAGTGCAATATAAACCATGAAAGGAATATAACCTAAGTAGAAAGAGCTCTAGAAGAAAAGACAGAGAGTGAAAGAAATTGAGAGAGAGAGAGAGAGAGAGAGAGAGAGAGAGAGAGAGAGAGAGAGAGACCAAAGGAAGAAAACATTTCCCAGAAATAGGGTGGATTCAGTCCCTCTGGCTTGGCAATACACTTCCTTAATATACCCTTCCCTAACTCATCTAAGATGAAATTAAACAATTCGATGCCTCCATGTTAAGGTTTAAGTCTCTATCTTTTCTCTGAGTGCATGGCCTTATCCCTTGTTTCTCTCCCTACCCAGTTCTCTCAGAAAACCTGGGAAACCTTAGATCAGGTCTGATGGAAGCAAAGAAGGCAGTCCCTTGATGTGATTAAGTGACTGTTGCAGATGATGCCATTTGGAAGCTGCATTTCAAAGTGGGTAGAAGTGCCTCACAAGGCTACTAAGGTTTTAATTTTCATTTAACTGTATTAACAAGTTCGAACCTAAAGGCATGATGATTTATTTGATAATAGATTGCTGCAGGCTCATGATAGGCAGCCCAGGTTGCATGGTAACTTCATGGCACATTTTCAAATGTTCAGTTTCTACTAAGGCACAAGAGCAGTCCCAAACTGTCTCTCAAAAGGAGAACAGTTGTCTGAAGATGATGGTAGAACCTTGTTCAGAAATCCCAAAGAGTCGTCTTTGATTCACTTATAGGGGACATCCAAAGGCTCCAAACAGTATCACAATCTGCCACTGCAAGTGCCATCGGGTCTGCTGGATCATATGGTTCAAGTGGTGTAGCAGCCAGCAGAGTAGCCTGAACCTTCTCCTGTTCCAGGCCACACACAATTGTAGATGCTTTCCATGTCACTTAGTAGAGGTACCATAGAAACAAACCCAAGTGAGGAATGTGCTGTCTTCAGAATCCAAATAGGCCCAATAAACAAAAAGGCTTTCTTGGTTGTGGGAAGAGCAAGATGAAATAACTTATCCTTCACCTTAGATGAAATATCTCTTCATGTCACACACCAGGGAACTCCTAGGAATTTCACTGAGGTAGAAGGCCCTTGAATTTTGATTGGATTTATGTCCCATCCTCTGATTCACGTATGTGTTACCAATGAATTCAATGAGGTTACTACTTCCTGGTCACTTGGCCCATCAAATATAGTGCAGCAATTTGATATTTTATGCAATAGATACACAATCAATATCCCTTCTAGCTAAGTTATGACACAGGACTGAAGAGGTAACATATTGTTGAAGTAAAACAGCAAAGCTATCCTGCTGGCCTTGACAACTGAAAGCAAACTGCCACTGGTGGTCATTATGGACAGACACTGAGAAAAAAAGCACTTGATAGATCAATAGCTGTTTATAATTCACCAGGAAATGTGTTCATGTGATCAAGTTGTCATAATTATTATGCAGGGGGAGGGGGTATCCTGTGAGTGCAGGGAAACATGCTGACATGCTGGGCAGATGCAGTGGTGGGCTGGCGGGTGACCCACTCCATGCAGGCATGGCAGTGGGGCAACAGGTGGACATTCACAACCCAGACGCTACATCTGCACAGAAATGGTTTATTATAATAGAGAGACAAAGAGAAGATAGGAAAGAGGGAGAGAAGAGAGAAAGAGAGAGGGAAAGAGAGAGGGGAGGTTGAGGGGTGCACACCTCATGGGAATGGAGAGAAAGGGGTGGAGTTTTTCTTTAAGAAGAGGCTTTTTAAGGACGCAGGGCAGCCCCAAGGGGCAGGTTGGAATATCAACACAAGTAAGGACACCATATCTGGTACAGCAGCTGCAGTTGGAGTCACTACCTGATTGAGTTTTTGATAGTCAATTGTCATTTTTCATTATACATCTGTCTTCAGCACTGTCCAGATAGAAGAGTTAAAGGGAGATGTAGTTGTGGTGGGAACCACCACCCAGCATTTTTCAAGTTCTTCATGATGGAACTAACTTCTGCAATTCCTTCTGGGATGCAATACTAATTTTGAATCACTATTTTCTTTGTCAAAGGCTGTCACGAAAAGAAGTGTTGTGGCATAGGTGTGTGGGTTAATGCAGATCCGTGGAGAGAAAACTCAGAGGCACCTTAAGAATGAATTTAGCCTTTCTTGGCTGCAGGGAGATCCAGTCTCTAAGGACTGAAAACTTTCCCTTCTCCCAGAGCATTTTTATTTTTCTCTATATTTACAGTTTAGCCAGTTGATTTTCATATGTTCAAAACAACCTGAAAGGAGCTCCCCAAAATACAATGCCAAGTGCAAATTCCTTGATTCATCAGGGACCACAGTTTTCCAGGTTTCCTGAACCAAGTTTTGCATAGGCCTTTGTATCCTTGGGAGACTCCCATACAGGATTCACATAGAGGGCAGCAAGAGAAACAAAAGTTGTCTGCTAAACAAAAGATGGGTTAGAGCTAGGTGCCACTCTCTGGTGCCCAGGCCAGGTGTAGCCCAGTGGAGTGCAGCTAGAAGAGGCAACTCTAAAGACTTCCACTTGTCATTTTCAACCATAATAGTCCTTATTCAACAGGTCAGAGAAGCAAAGCCAATTTCTAAGTGTATCTATCCCAATTTCCCAATTCTGGGATTGGGAAAATAACCACAGGATGAGTTTAGGGAAACACTGGTGTTGGTTTTAATGTGGCGGAGCTGTGTTATTCATTAAGTGGTGCTGTTACCATGCGAGAAAGGCCACGAGGCATGACAAAACCCACTATCAGAGCTTTATTAGGAGAAGAGAGGGACAGAAGAGAGTGTGACCAGGCTTGAGGAACACGTGCAGAGAGAGAAGACGGGGAGGAGAAGGAGAAGAAGGGGGAGAAGTCTGTGTCCCACTTCTTATGGATTCCCCTGCACATGCGCATATGGGCTTACGGAGCTACACCATGCATGTGCATAGATTGAGTGATCATGCTGTATGCAAATTACATGATCATGCAGCACATGAATTACGTCGAACGTAAGGCCCCTTGCTTAGCTACTGAACTGTGCATGTGTGGTCATGTAGCTGGGGGAATGACCAGGAATCCCAACAACTGGATCTACTGTAAGTGTGATTTTATCCAATTACTTGACCTCTATAAGCCCCTCCTTTAACTGGAGGGCCACAATGTTTCTTGGGATCTTCCAGAATCAGTGTCCAATAGACTCCAAGAAGTCTGATTGTTTCCTTTCCCCCAGTATACAGTTACCCTTGTAAAAGGCCATAGGTTCTTTTTGGGAAGGACTTGAGAAAGGGTAACAATAAAACACTTAGGTATTTTATCAAGATCCTTCCTCAGGGGAATCTGGGTATCCCTTCATTATTAGGGTTCCAGGTCTACAAACTGTCTCAAATCTAAAACTTTCTCCCAGGCTGAGAATCACTTTGCATGGTCCAATGCAGCTTTTCTTTCATTTGTTAGAGAATTTTTCTGCTTATTCAGATCAAACAAATTTAGTTGGTGTCTTATCTATTTCACACCTGGGAATACCATGATT